ATTTGATTGTCAAGAACTTCGAAACGGCTGCCGCCAATGCCATGTTGCCATATTTCCCTTCCGCTTAAGGGAACACTCATTCCGCGGTCCTAAGGAACGTCTATGAAATACGAGCGCCTATAAGTGAAAACTCTTTTTGAGAAAACACTTATCGCTTAAGGGTTAGCTTATCCTATAAGTGACGACTATGAATTCGGCCCTAAGACATACACTATGTGAGCAAAAGTATCCAGACATGTGGTTGATAATGACCTACCAGTTCGTAGCGCCCTCCATCGGTAATGCTGAAACTCAAGAGTGTTGGCCCACCCCTAGCTTCCACTCTCGTATCATACTTTCAATCAGGTGCTGGAAGGTTTCTTGGGGAATAGCAGCCCATTCTTCACGGAGTGCTGCACTGACGAGAGGTATTGATGTAGGTCGGTGAGGTCTGGCACGAAGTCGGCGTTCCAAAACATCCCAAAGGTTTTCGATAGATTTCCAGTCAGGACTCTGTGCAGGCCAGTTCATAATAGGTATATATAAAATATTGTCGTGAAACCACTCCGCCACAGGCCGTGCCTTATGAACAGGAGCTTCGCTGATTGGCGATACCTGGTTGGGGAATACCCACCCCATCGCCGTTTAGGTCGGAGATGGATCTCGCCATACAGTGGGGAAAGAACAACACCACCTTCCGTGATAAAACATACACTACACCTACGGGACTAATTACTCGTTCCATTGCAGTTGACGCGCAGTAAACTCGAAATAATCAAACAACAAACACACTACCAGAGAGAACCGATTACGAGCATAAGGTTTATGATTTCGTCATTTTACTCTCTACCTTGTCTCTCTTCTTATTGTCCCTCCCTTTGTTAATCCATAATATGGCATATATGAATAATTTTTAATTTCCAATCATGAGAAGTCTGTTGCAACATAAATTATTTCTTCTTTTATCTACAGATAGGTAATTTCATTCCTCAAAGAAATATACCTAATTTCGCTATTTACATAAAATTTTAAAAAGTTTACTTTCTTATTTACACAGTATAGAGAAAAATATTGAAATGCTGCATAATCATTTCTCACATTTTCGGCAGAAGAGCTCGTTTTGTGGATCATTGATAACGGAAAAGTAAATTTGTCTTGAAAACCTCTTCACTTAGGAATTTATTTTCTCAATTATATAGTAAGTCATAATCAACGTTTTGTATGCACTTGATAACCATCAATAGTTTTCGGCAGAACGTCTATCTCCCTGCCGGCCTGTCTGCGTTTCTCAGACTGACAGTCGTTCGTCCTTCTGTGTTTGTATGTCTGTCCGTCCGTGTGTTGATGAACAATAATGCACACAAAATTGATAAGTCGTATGCGATGTAACTAATGTATATGGTGGGGGACTTCGAAATGGTTAATTGCATGCTTTAGTTTTCGAGCATACATTAACAGTTTCAAACTGTTCTCCAATCTAGCTTGAATTTTTTTGTTGAATGTATGAGCATTCGCTGATAAAAATGGGCCAGGTCCTGTTTTCTTTCCAACCTCTGAGTATTTTAATGGCAAAAGTTTAAGTTTTTCATCACCCTCTCACTACTAACATGCGCAGGAAGGTCTCTCCGCAGTGGCTGCAGTGTGTGGTGAGAGTACTTGCAACAGAAATGACGTTGGTAGCACGAGCTTCTTGCAACTTATAACAGAAGAAAATTAACATTACGTACTCTACTACAATCCCTACAATTGTAACAAATGCTGGAAAAGCTGGAAATGCTGGAAGCATTTCATGTGATGGCTAAAGTAGAAAAGGAACAATATTCTAATTGTGTATCAATAACGTATCTCCGGTAGGTATTTTTATAATACCGTTTTTTTGTACTTTGCAATATTACAGTTGCTTGTATAGTTCATTTCCGGACTTAGAAAGTTACACCAAAATGCAACAATTTAAAATTGTATATTATGTTACTAGTTTGTATTGTTAAGCTTTATTGCAATCGTACGTTGTGACGTTTATTCCTATTTTTATACTATTAATACATTTAATTAATTTATAAATTTGTGAAATATCTATTTGCTCCCACTTATTTGCTTACTTAATTTCATTGCCCAACAAATATTGCATTTATCAATGTTATAATTTATTTAATTTTATTTTACCCTGCTATGCTCATAACTTTTTCTCAGTGCTCAACTGTTGTTATCATGATGTAACTTCAAGTAATCTGTCTATTTAAATTCTGTACAGAATTGCGATTCCTGGAAGTTCTGTTGGTTGAAACCACTTATTAAATTTGATGGCAACTAACTTCACATTATTTGCCTTTCCTTTTTCAAAAATAATAAATTAACATATATTTTATTACAGTTACAAATTACATTGAGCTCATTAGTGATATGACTGAATTTTCCTATGTACAATACTTATAGTTCCGTGCGGTTCTGATTTAAAGTTCCTGGACGTACGGTGATTTTCGCGTGCTATGAATATCTTGGCGTTCGTCTTCCCAATCTTGTGGCTTGGGATCGTCCGTAGGATGTCCTTGTTGATGTCCCTATTATCGTGATGTTGGCTAACGTCAGAATAAGTTTACAAATGTTCCCGGATTATTCTACACTATTTGGTACTTTCATAGAAATCAATAATTACAACAAAGTTAAATCGCGAGCGCGACTTACCGTGGCTGTGCTTCGAATGAAACACTTGAGCGTGACTCTCTACCGTCAACCCAACTTACTAGAAATCCTCTCCATCAACGGATCTATTCTCATAAAAATCCCTTTCAAACAGAAATATATTTTAATTTAATTAAATTAAGAATTACAATTCAAATTAAAATGATACATTTGACATCTCACTCCATGCAATGCAAAGCTGTCAGAATTAATTATAAGTCACACGTTTCCCTATCATTGGGCTGGTAACTCAGTCTCAACTGAAATAATACCCGTACCGTTCCGTTTTCTGCATGCGATCTATTCGGCGGCTAACGAGAGAGTCATTATTTCAATATTCTCATGGAACCGTGGCTTTTAAAGCCATCTTTACACCTCCTGCATATAATGTCCTCGGGGTCATGCTCTCCAAATGAAAAGCGTTCTACCATCAAGCATGGAATATAACTTTTTTATCGGTCGTCCTACCAACGTGTTTTTCTTGGCTCTAAGCGTCTTATCTGTATACATTTTCAACGCATCTATAATGCTTATTAATGTTTTTCCTGTTTAAAATACAACCAGGGTTTTCAGGCTTATCAAGAATGTTTTGTAAACGAAGTAAGAATCGAGTTTTCAAATTTGTAATGATGCAATAAGTATCATTATAAACGAGTTGCATACGTTACGTTTTTGTGTATCAGCATTATAAATTTATAAGAAAATCAAAGATAATTTTTAGAAACAATTTTATTGTGACATAACATGGTTTTCGACTCTGTGAAAAAACCGATGGTCGTCTGTTCCGTTTACCGTTATCACCCCACGATTCTCTCGCTGCAATTAGCGGAATGAGTGACGGCGAAATTATTCGGGCCATTCACGGTAAATGCATGTATCTCTGCCATTAGAAGTTGGTTGATTACAAAAAAACTTGCATACAAAAACTTAGAAAACTTACAAAAAATGTAAACAAGTTTTTTTTGTAATCAACTGTTGTAAAAGGCCATTTTTATTACACCAAATTCATCCCAAGATGCACGAGGTGTTTGGTGAACGGTGTTTCGCATGGTGAACCGTATTTCGATTGTGTCAGGGACGCGTCCACATAAAGGACTTACCACATCCGGGGCAGGTGCACGTAGTGACCAACGGTGCAACGATTGCGGATGTGGTTGAGCTCAGGCGGCAGAACCGTCGGACCACCACTCGTGAAACTACTGTTGAATTGGTGATAAGCAAAGGAACGGTGCATTACACCAACCACACATAAATGGCGGCTTTTCAAGAAGACACTCATGTTCCTTACGACGTATCACTAGAAAATCGTGCTTACAGCTGCCCTGAGGAAGCCTGCGACATGTCAGGCGAAACGTCGGCCTCCCAGCCAACGACGCGGCGTCTCCCGGATAGCCGAGAATATATGGATTCGAGCCGCGGAAACTCACGTGTACATCGTACTTACAGCCCCGATATCTCTCCATGCGACTCCCATATCTTCGGCTTCTTACCTTGTTAAGGGTCAGACATTCACCTTCGATGAGGACGTGATAGATACCTTGAATACACCTTGAAACAGTGGTTCTGTCAGGATCCTAGGCGTTTTTACACGGAAGCCATCTACTCATTTCCTACGTGCTGGGATAAGTGTATCACAGTAAATGGAGATTATTCATAGGTGTACTGATCTAAATGAAATGTAATTCTTATGTTGACATTTAAGTTACTTTTCATATCACTGTAGTCTCTCTTTTTATTTGGGCATACCTTATATTTCGGTTTTGAGATATTTAATATTCACTTCTAACTTTTCGGTTGCATTCACTGCCCTGCCCTCATTCTCGTAATTCATTTTTATCAGCGTTCCTTTCGCCTTTCGAAATATTAATTCATTATTCTTCGACTTCCTTCTCTAGTCTGTGCAATAGTATTATTTCTCTCTTACTGACTGCTCAATAGAAAACGCTCGCGATTTGGAGAACCATCACCTCGCATAGAATTCCCTACACAGCACAAAACCTACAGCGTCACTGTTAATGTCTTGTTCAGAAAGGTAGCGTCTGTGGTGGTGCGGACTATAATATATTATCAAAGTACATACAAATAAGAGCGTATCTCTCATTTTCTTTCACCTTTAGTGGGCGCACCCATCATTTTATTTCGCCATTAAGTCAAAAGATGGGATACCTAACGTATTTTCGGCGCAAGTTTACTCCGCACGTCAACAAATGCACGTGGTTGTTGCTCGTTCTCATTTGCTGATGGACACCGCACTTCTTTTCAGGGCATCGGGCGCCATATGAGTTAGACCGCTTTCAAATTTGATTTCTTTCTTGACTCTTAACACAAATGAATTCGAAATAATGTTCTCTTCTGTCTTGAAGTGAAATGAGACACCGAGCGTTACTCAAAAAGCAGTGAAGCTGTCAACGGTATCATTTGTACATACTTGTTTCGTGGAAACGAACTGGCAACATTAAGTAAAATTCCGAATGTGGATAATGAGGATTCGCGCTTGCTTGATTTTAAAAGAACGTCTCTGTATATTTTGTTCTGTGAAATCTTTCATTGCTACCTTGCGAGGGCATATTGTGAATGTAAATAAGTACTCTAATAATTAAGCAAATTATTTGCGTGTTGTGGCATGTATTTTGGGCGTATCTGAGAAATAAAAATGAAAATAGTGTGTACGACAGTTCTTGCAATGACGAGTGCTGGTATTTTAGTATAACTGTGGCGCGAAGAGCGCAGTCAATCACACTTTCCCGGCCGGAGAGATACATACAAATTTTGTTTAGAAGCTGAGTAAAGTTAAAGCGAACGGACCTTGGCAATGATACTGGAAATTCCTCACCATCAATATATAATCTCCTGCAATTTACAGGAATGAATAATACTGCTGTACGTTATGATCTGCACGTTATATTAAGGAAAAAGTGTTGAACAAAAAAATGTCAAGTTCGACAGAGAAAGGATTCCTAAGGACTCCTGAGGTTGTGTAGAGTTCTCTAAGCAGGGACAAGCTGGTATATCTGCGTTATTATCTTCACAAAAAATTTACAACTCTTTTGTTGTAAGAGCCTTGAAGTGCCGAGGATGGAAACAACATAAGGGAGGTTTAAATTTTCATTTATTTCAGAAGAATCGTTCCGAATCGTAGGATTGGTATTCAGTGACGACGTCTGGTTTGTTTTTTCTCACTGTTAAATTGAAGTTCTAGTTCAATTCAGAACGTATCGATGGGAGCACTTACAGATTACGAAACTGACAGGAAATCGGCGTCGTCGTTTGTTAATAATTATATTACGATAGTAACGTTCGCCAAAAGTCAAGGATAAATCATAAAGATAATTTAATATTTCTAGCTCCAATCGGAAGATTATATGATAGTAGGAAACAAATAGGAACGTACATTAGGAGAATGAAGTTGCATTTTTAAAAACAAATTTATTGAATTTTATTTCAAGAAAAAAAAACGTAGCCCCAGCTCAATAAATACATTGAAGTGATGCACAAGTCAGCCGCTTAAATGCCAGTGTTCGTCCTTACCCAGGAGCGGAGGACCGCAACGTTTGAAAAGACGGAGGGGTAGTTGGGTAGAGCGCACCCAACGGCCCACGACACGACTCCGACCTGAACGCGGTTGTGCACCAGGGGCCCTCCGGAGTCGCCTGTGCAAGAGTTGTGGCCGCCGGAGAGGTGACCGGCGCAAATCATGCGGGGGGTAACCCGTCCAGTTTTCAGGTACAAAGACTCACACAATTTGCGTTTCACGATGGGCACAGACGCGTTCCGCAGATGTGAGAGATAACCGTTCTCCTGGAAATAATACATCAGTTATTTTACGATCCATCCATGGACAGAAGAAGATGAAGAATGTTTCAGAATAAATATTACAAACTTCTAGTAGTGCAGAGGGGTGCAAAATAATAGCTTTTTTTGCCTGTGTCCATATAGTGGGAAATTTCAAGAAACGAATGTACACCGATCACACGTGCACTTGATTGTTGGCAACTAGATACCGTGATCAGTGTCCTGCAGGTGCTACTTTTTTTCCTCATTGCATCAAAACCTGACCTGCAGAAGACTATTGCATTTCACCTAATAATTAGAGGCAAATGACATTTGTTAAATACCTTTATATTAAATTTCCCAGAACATGTTCAGCGGAAATTGTGATAGTTTTTTTACCCCTTTTTATGCCTTAGAAGATTGTAACATTTATACCGAGAGATATCGATTTTCCACTGAAAAAATGAAGATAAAATGAGTTGCACTTACTGTGCGTCCCCAGCCACTAACGACGGCCCAGCCACCAGGTGGAGGCTCCTGCATCGCAAGAGGAATGGGCTGCACGTTGATGTTATATATGAAACTGCCAAATATCTGCAACGCATAAACCAAACACTCATCAAACCAGGGCCCTACAAATCCCATTTAACGTGGTGCAAACCATTACGGTGGCACGAACTGCTGGCAACGATACTTTAAACGCGCGTGGCTGCTGCGTGAGTTCGCGAGTCGCAAGCAGGCTCATAATGTTAGAAAAGATAACGTATTTGTTCGCGCTTTCTTCAGAGGTTTCTTATAAGTACAGATAATAAATAATTGAACATTTAGAAGACGCTTTTCGTTTTTCTCTCAAATTAGCCAATTTGTTTGTGGGAAAGTTGGCGAGCTTCACCTGCAGGTGCACCCGACGACACTAGCGCCTCCTAGATTTGTTCCCGGTTTTGATGGAGAGGCGCACGAGCTCCTCGTCCGCCTGGGGAGCCCAACGCTCGTACGGGCACGGGCAACTTCCCCTGACTCCGCGCCCATTTTCCCTCCAAATTCACAAAGGGGTACAAGCGCAAGCTAAAGCTGAGTAGAAACGCGTAATAGTGACTCCATACGAAAATATATTTCTATCAATAACCGAGGATTGTGTTATGTTTACATTCTTCACTACTCCTAACTATTTCATGTTTATTTTCTTTCCAAATGCTTCCTTATAAAAACAGTGTCAGGACTGTGTTTGAATAGCGAATTCTTTCCTGGTTTACATTTTGTATTGTGTTATTAAATCATTCAGCTATTGTATTGAGCAGTAATGTGAAATAAATTGACAAGTCTCTGTAAGTTAACAATTCTCGTTTACGGACAGACATCACTTTTTTAACAGACAAGAATATTTGCCTGTTAAACCTCCTAACCTGAACGTAGAAAGTCAATGTTTTATTTCACTTTCAATTTAACAGGATTAGAAAATCAAGATATTTTTCATATTTTAAAAAAAATTGCTTTCAATTGAGAATTTGAAATTGGACTGATATGTTATTCCATTATAAACGATCTATTCTTTGCTTTAAACAGAAAATGGAAAACAATATGCCTAAATTTGTGAGAATGGCTGTCAAGTTACGTCTGGTAAAGAGTGTCGTGGGCCAGGTATCCAGTTACGTACCGCCACTCCGGGAAAATCTGTACAGCCCTTACTCTTATATTTCGCGGCAATTTCCCTGGACGCCGTGCCCACGAGTTTTAGTAAGCTTGTTACCTTGGTCGCGACTTTGACAGGCCTAGGATATATCAAGTGGATAAGTATTCTAGATAGTATTTACACAGCTTAGCCTGGCGCCGCCGAAATAGGCTTCAGAAATGGTTAATGAATTTAGGATGCAGGGATCTCTATAGAAGGTGCAAAAAGCTTCGGAGAGCTGAAGGAAATTAAAATGGATATAGTGTCACTGTCAGAGACGAAGAAAAAAGGAAATGGGAATAAAAGATGAGATTACTTGCGTCTTTATAGTGGAGTGGGTAAAAAAACGATATCAGGGATATCGATTGCATTTCATCAAAAACCTAGCAAAAATATTACCAATTTTAAACCTGTAATTAAGAAATTTGCTTTACTAGAAATTAAGTTTGTAGGTCGTACTCTCTTATTGTTGGCATATATGTTTCAAATGATAACAATGAAGTTAAAAGATGAATCTTTGAGAAATTGGCGAAAGTTATGGAGTTAATTAGGAAAGATAATATTATAATACTTTTGAGAGGTTTTAATGGCCGTGTCGGCTGCGAAAGTGATGGCGAGTCAGTGGGTTGTTAGGTAGAAGAGTAGTGATTGAAAATGGTAAAATATTGAAAGAACGTAAACATTCTCAGTGAGAATTATCAATGGATCCGTTAATCACCAAGATATCCTTATATGCACATGGTTCTTAACAAAAAATGGTTCTAAGATTGATTTTATTAGATGCGTCCATAAAAGTCTATGATGTGACGGCACAAAGAGATGTTGCATGCGATTCAGATCACTTTCTGGTAAAAGCTCCAGTATATTTCTTCCTAGAATATTTTACAAGACAATAATGAAGAAAAGAGTAACATAGTCAAACTAACGAAATATAATTTAAAGTGTTTTGATAATAAATTGACGATATGTTTGTAGAAATTGACACTGACCCCAATGCTACAAATTGGTTAAATATTGATGTGAAAAATTGTTATCAAGAACCCACGATACGTTGATTCTAACTAAACGTGTTAGAGGAAGAAATTTACTATATAAACGGACAAGAATTATCCACTCTTTCGGTATCAAGAATCTACAATAGAAAGTTGTCTGCCGAAAAAACGCCAATTTTTCGTGCAGCATTACATAATAGTACCTCTTCCCTGTATATTTCGTATGAAGTACGAGAAAACGTAAAAATTGATCAAATTGAAAATTGGGCATGGAGTCTATTCGAAAAGTTGTCCGTTGAATTTGATATAAAGTATTAAAATACGGTAATTGAAGAAAACTATAGTTACATTCATGAATGTAGCCGGTTTTAATGTTTTTGCCGTATACTTTATGTAATATTAATTCATTTTACTGTGCTTCACAAATACAAAAATAATTGGCTACTAAAAAGCAGCCTCTAGTGATTTCGGCAGTTGTAAACAAAAACCATAAACTATATTCCAAATAATACATTTGACAACATTTGATTGTAGATAACGTGATTTTGATTCATACAATTTCACTTTGACAGAACATTGGTGTACACCCTATTTGTATTCATTACATACGTCCTCAAAATCATATCTCAAAACTTACGCGAACGACCGCGATGTCGTAGTCAATGAAGGCATTGAAAAGTTCATGGCGCTTCACTTCAACCACGGGGTAGATGCTGCCTCCTTTGGTTTTTAAACTGCTTCCAACGCGAACTGTGTATGGAGGTGTGGATCTAAGAAATAAACAAATTTTAGTTTAAATTTTGTCTGGATAGCCGTGACACGCTTCTAATCTTTGGAGTAGATGGATACTCACTGAACTCTGCAATGGGCCGCGGTTAGGACCCACTGTGGGCTGATGATGGAACCACCACAAAAATGTTGGCTATATTCTTGTAGGGAGACCTAGAAACAATCACACGGATCAAACTAAACCACTGTCAAATCTAAGATGAACTAAAATGGGTGTATTAATAAGGAACCCCAAAGGAATTAGTTTTTACATCATTCGTCTGGTGAAATTCACTCTTTATTGCAGGGAACTATAATGATCACTTCCACATCACTATTTAGGTACATTGAAATTATCAACGCTAAATTTTGTCATTTTGTAAAAATGATAATATTAAATCAGGCCATTCAGATAATAAAATTCCAAGTCTTTTAGAACATTCTCGATTGATTGCTTGATTGTTAGTGATTTGGGGGGCGTCAACTAACATGATCGTTAGTCCCGTAAGTGAAGTAAATGTTTCTGCTTGGGAGGTGTCGGAGGTCTTCCCCCGCTGGATCATCACCAGCGTCGCACCGTCACAGTCGCAACAAGCTCTAAGATTACGGCCGGTCCTCCATCATGTGTGGTACTGTAGTGCATGTCAGTGTAAGTGTGTGTGTAAGGGGTGAGGATATGCCAAGGAAGAGGAAAGAAAGATCGCGCGCGGTCTGTGGCCCGTTTGTTAGGGTATTGCTCCTGGCATTCACCTGGCGTTGATGGGGAAACACTGAAAAGTACAGATCAGAGCAGACGGCCGCTAGAATTCTTCTCCAGATAGACTGAATTCGACCTAGCTGACAAGTTAGTGACGAAAATCCTGACATCGTCTGAACTCGAACCTTAGACCTCCCGGTTGGAGGGACTGCTGTGACATCATTTGATACCCTGAGCCTGCTCTCCCGATAACATTCTCGAAAAGCAACCTTACGAGACAATAGCGCGTCAGTAAACAATTTAGTACATTGTTTTACTCCAGTTAGACATTTTCATTATCTCTGGTAAATGTGTTGATTCCTTCAAACAACTCTTCCTTTCACATCAAGTACTTGCTAAGCACAATTGTCATTTAACTCGCGAATGTGATTTACCTCTAACTTTCTTCGAGACACCAATAGAATGCAGTCTCCGACTGAATGGTTTTCTATACTCAATTTCTAATTGCAGAAATGGCAACAATAATGTAAATTGTGAGCCAATAGCGAGCATATACCAACTCGCTTTGTGTTATTTGTGCAAAAAAATTAACGAAATCTGGAGTTGATTTTCAAAATTAAGAAAATGATGAATGAGAGAATTTAGTAGGAAGTGTCTTATAAAATTGATGTACTATTTTCGAATTCGCGTAATCTATAGTTAAGTGAAATAATTTAGAGAATACCAGTTTATATAAAAACAAAGTTTTATAGCTGATGTTTTTTACACAATGATAGAGTTTGAACGGTTCATTATTTATAATATCTTAGAAGTTCAATATCAAAATATCAATCAGTAATCCTGGCATCATCTTCATGTAGTTTAAAGGTGGATTACCACTTTAACTGAGAGGAAAAACTATTTTAATTGAGGTTCACTTGCGAGGGTTCGCCTCCTTCTTTCAAAATTCTTAAAAAAGAGTGTAGGACAATAGGAAAATATGCTGTTTTTGATAAAATTAAACATAAAATTTGGCAGGTAATAGATGCGGACCTGACTCTTTCTTATCGTGAAAATCCGCCCCTCTTTCAGCAAAGCTAGTAGTATTATGGTTTAAATGCAGGATCTAAAAGGGTACCTGATAGGGATGATATATGATTGACGTGGGAACGCCGCCTACAATTCGCTGGTGCCCACCATTGCGGGCTTTCATTTCGATTTCGTTCTCCTCTGGATCGAGATCCGTCTCGTTGTTGGGTCTGACGTTGGCAATTGGGTGTTGACCGCCACAGCGCGCTCTTATTCCGGTCTCACTGTCTTCTGGATCGGAAGCCAAGTTACTTCCGGCATCAAGGAGGGCTTCCTCGGAGACTGAGCGCTCCTCACGCCTGGAGGTTGCCGCTGGAAGTAAGACAAGCACGATTAACACCAGAATTCAATTTAACTTTTGTGAGAGGGTTGCGTATCCAACTTGCGCTCTAAAAAATGCAAGAAGATGCAAGTATAAAATTCCTGTATTCTTATTGTTAGTATAAGATATTATGATGTAGGTCTTTCAATAATTAGAGACAAATAAGTCTGGAGAAAACACAGTTGGTAGCAAAGTTGGTGTAATGTTAGGACTTTAAGTTGGTATAACTGGGATGAGTCCCTGACCATTTGGATGATTAGCATTGATGTGTTCCTAACCTCAAAATTAAGGTGAAAGATGGCAAGTAGGCTTGAAAATCCCACATTGATTGAACAACGTTCTAGGATTTACTTTTTACTCGCTGAGAATGAATAAAAATACACCTAATATATACTCCAGAATAACTAAAGTGCATGGTGAAAGTTGTATGAACCGCGGGAAGTTTTACAAGTGGGTAGCACAGTTCAAAAATGGTCGAGACTTAGTGACTAACAAAAATCGTCCAGGCCGCATCAGTAGGCAAAGTCATGTTAACGGTGTTTAGGTATGCTGTAGGTGCGTGTATTTCTAATTATCTCGATGAACAGTGTTCTGTAAATAGCCAATGCTACTTAGATATGCTTTGAACAAGGTGAAGTCCGCCATGAGAGAAACGTCATTGATCTCAAAGGAGAGGTGTGGTTCTCCAACATGACAACGAACTTAACAAAAATTGTGAAACTATCGACGAAATGGGTTGGGGCGTACTTCCTCAACTCCCTTACTGTCCCAATTTAGCACCATCTGATTTCCATTTGTTTGGTCCGCTGAAGGGGTAATTAAGTGGGAAGAAGTTCCAGGATAACGAAGATGTCAAAACATTTGTAGGAAATTGATTCAAACACCAAGATAAAGATTTCTTTGCAGCCGGTACAAGAAAGCTGGTAACCCGTTGGGGCAAGATCATAAAAGTTGAAAGCGATTATATTGAAAAGTAAGAAAAGTTCCTGTTTAGTAAAAATAAGTTCTAGACCAATTTCTCTTTAATTATAATTAATAAAATTAATTATTGTATACATCTCGTATAATTATTTTTCTGAAAATAGTTTTTGCACATTTATTTATTACATCGTATTTTCTTTGGTATTTAAAAATGTTGAATTATTATATTGAAAATTGGTGTGTGTACTCACAGCTCATACAAAAACAAGAATTGGGAGAGATCACTTCCGATAGATCAGGTAGTACAGTAATCAAAAGGTTTCAGATTCGCACACAAATGCAATTGCACACCATATAAAATAATTAATACAATAAAACATATACCAAACAACCTGTTTAAAGTAAGGCTTGACGCATTAGAGATATTATAAGGTGTTAATAGTTCAACATTAGAGTGCTCGGAGAATTTACCTTGAAACTATTCATTTATGTTCGATTCCCGGTCGAAGCAAAAATAGAGTTTTAGCTTTTCTTCAAAATCGTCTGTTTCCGTAGCTCAGGGAAGAAGAAAAGTTCAGGCAGTCGAAGTTTGCTATTTTCGGTGAAGGGAATACTTTATGTTCGCCACATGTCTTTTTTTGGAACCCAACGTTGGATTTAAATAGACCCAGGTATGAGGGACTCCGTTAGCTAGCCGGCAATGTCGGACACGTGTCCCAAAATGCTAAATACGTACATACTATTCATTTATTATAAATTCCCATGAATTATGTATTAATGAAATGAAAATGTTCAAAGTTTTAGATTTTTCCGAGTTTAGTTCAATAACACAACTGGAAAAGGATAACATCATTGTGCTATGGTCATCTAATCTCATTATAAATTAGGCAGTCACATAAAATATGTTTAAGGTTTTCAGCGATGTTCATATTGTATAGCGAACAGATCGAATTTGTGTGTATTTTGTGCTACTATTTCTCTAGTTGATGTTGATTTCTTTGTCACTGAACATCCTGATCTGAACAACTACTCTAGTAGTGGAAGTGGGGAGAGCAAAATTTAAGTTTTCCTCTCAGTAGATTGCAAATCCCTAATTTTCTGATATATAATGTTATACGATGAGTTCATGATTCTATGCAAATCGTCCAATAAGATTTAATTTTAGCAACAATCGAGGGAATACTGTTTCTGATTACATTCGGATTTTGTTGCTGCGTAATTAAGGAATTAAAGCGCAAGTCATTCATTACCTCGTCCAGGTCGGACACTCAGTTGTATGTACTTGAACTTGGATAAGCATTTCTTAATTCTAAACGTTTGTTGAAAACTATACGTCGGTGTTGACCAGGCGCCTTAGATAGCAATTTTGTCATGTAAGTCAATGATCTTCAAAACTGAATTAAATTGAAGAGTGAAATTGAATTGAAAATTTAGTTTGCACGTTTTGCTAAAAACCTAAATGTTGTACTGTTGAAATTAAGAAAACATTATATTGAGAAGTTAACGCATTGTTATTTATGAGTTGAATACCATTTGAAATGAACGTGTCGGACTCATTAGTATACCTTCACGTGCACATAATTCACCATCTTCTAGATAAGTTCCAATTCTATAATAATATCATACTAATATTATGTTTAGGATCTGATTGACAATGAAAAACTTGGAATTAGACGAGCATTTCCGAGAAAAGTTACTTTAAATGAATAGAATATGTATTATTTCATGAGAGATTTGCCTACAACTTCCTGCTCTTTCATTCCGATTGGCTAGGTTTACTGACAAGTCTGCAAACCGAAATCATTTGATCAAATGAACCATATATCTTTCCTGTCCAACGCGATTAGCAATGCGAAGAGAAGAGCATGAATGAAATGTTGTGTTGCTTTTACTATATTGACTTTAATATAATGGATTGACTGAATGTATAATGATTGTAAAAATTGCGAGATAAATAAACGAGACTTAATTCGGTACTAACTATGCAAAAATAAGGATGCGTAGAATTAATTCATTAATTGCTCTCCGCACATAAACGTCTTTTTTTA